CAATTGACCCTGTGGATCCTTAAAGTTGAGGAGCCAGGTTAAGCTACTGTGGTCTGTCCTGACAAGGAATTCTCTTCCCAGCAGATAGTGGTTGAACTGTTTCGTGAATCTCACAATAGCTAACAGTTCTTTTCTGGTGGTGCAGTAGCGTCGTTGCTCTGGCGTAAGACTGTAACTTCCATATGCAATGACATGTTCTCTTCCATCCTGTAACTGTATAAGTTCTGCACCAATAGCTGTATCTGATGCATCAGTATCAAGAATGAATTGATCACTGGAGTTCGGTTAGTGCTTTTATCAGATCGTCAAAAGCTTCTTGTTGTTCAAGTCCCCAGATAAAAGGCTTTTTACCTGTAACTCTGTTTAAAGGACCAGATATTCTAGCATAATCCTTGATGAATGCTCTATGGTAATTGGCAAAGCCTAAAAATCTTTCAACTTCTTTTGTAGTCTTAGGGGTTTGCCATTTTTTTACCACTTCAACATAATCATCTCCTATTGACATTCCTGTCTTGCTGACCTTTCTTCCTAAAAACTCAACTTCCGTTTGAAACATCAAACACTTTGCCGGCTTCAGTTTCAGTCCATAATGACGAAATCTGTCGAAGACTAGTTGTAAATTCTGTAGATGGTCTTCAAACGATTTTCCCATAACCAGAATGTCGTCCAAGAATGCTAACACGATATTCCATGTTAATCCTCTTAAAACAAGGTTCATAACGCTGGCGTAGGTTGACGGAGCATTGCAGAGTCCGAAACTCGTGCGCGTAAACTGGAAAAGGCCATATTTCGTAATGAAGGCTGTTTTAGCCTTATCCGAGTCATTAACTTTGATTTGATAATATGCTGAATTGGCGTCCAGTTTAGAAAACCATTCATTTCCAGCCAAGGTGTCAATACATTCTTCTATAAGTGAGAGGGGGTAGACATCCTTTTTAGTGACCGAATTAAGTTTTCTGTAGTCTATGCACCATCTTACTTTACCATCTCTTTTGCGGATAAGTACGGGCGGAGATGCCCATTCAGACGTTGACGGCTCTATGATCCCTGCATTCAACATGGTCTGTAAATGGGTCTCTTCTTCTTTTACGAAATCTGATGGGGTTTGTCTCATTCTCTGCTTGACAGGAACAGCTGTGCCCGTATCGATGGCGTGCTTTATCTCAGTAAAATTTCCGAGATCAAAATCATTCTCAGCAAATACATATTGGTACTCTGTTATCAAATTCTTAAACTGCTCTTGTTGACTATTATTGAGGTTAGTGACAGACTTCTGTAGTAGCGGATGTAAATAGAGTGGGATTTCTGATGTGGAAGTTTTTGTTTCAACTGATATGTTGACTGGTTGAGCTTGAACTGCTTTTCCAACAACAGTTCCTTTGTGAATGGTGTAGTACCTGTCACTTGCATTGACTAAACAGAGCCTTGGAGATGTTTGGTCAGAGTACATGCATCTTGGTATCAAGACTGGTATATCGGCTTCCTCAGGCTCTATAACGTAGCTTCCCTCAATGTGTCGAGATAGTTTACCATTGACATGTATGGCTGAATTTGGCGGAATTACAGTTTTACCAGGCACTGTTACTTTGGCAACTGTTGGAGCTTCCCGACTCTTTCCATATGACATCTGCAAAACTTCAGAGTTAATGGAGAACTGGTTCTTACTGCAATCTAGTATAACATTGTTTTCCCGCATGAAGTCTAAGCCTAGGAGCATGTCATCATCTATAGGTGCTACGTATATTTCAGATGGGTATGTTTTGGATCCTATCATGATGTCAACTGGACCAATGATGAATGTATCCATTTTCATATCACGCCCTGCACCATGCATGACTGTGCATTTCTTAACAGGTGGTTTGATCTGCATCTTTTCATACACCCGGTCCGAGATAATAGTGACTTCTGCTCCCGTATCTATTACTGCAGTAATGTCTGTAGAGTTCACTTTTACATTTAACCTCAGCATAGAAGCTGATCCCAACTGTAGAATGGTCATTGTTTTATCTACATCTGCGCTTTTATCTTCAGAATAGGAAGTATGATTTCTATTTGATGTTTTCCTTCTGGGTCTTCTTTGCTTCTTGCGTTTCCTTGATGTATGTCTTATGGATTTAGGGCTCGTTTCTTCTGAAGCACAATTTTTCTTGAGGCACTCTGTAGTATTTCGGGTCGGATTTACGCCTGTTGACCCGGCCCACTCTCGTTTAAAGGTCTCGTCTCAGACTGTGAACTCCCGTTTGTATTCTGACTTCTGCTTTGATTCTGGACCCTCAACTTCTTAGGCTTTCTGCAATCTCTTGCTAGGTGCCCTGGTTTGTCACAATTGTAGCATGTACGAGTCTCCGTATTTTGTGGTCTTCTTTTCTGTTTATTCTCCATGCTGCTTAATTTTGTTTGAAGCATCTGCATGTTGTCCACAAGAATCTTGATCTGTTCCTCCATAGACTTTAGCTGATCTGATTGATGTGCTGATGGAGAAAAATTCTTGTCGCTTTTTTACTGCTGCGTTAATTGTTATCACAGAATCAATCTCGTGCTCGGAATCTTAAGAAAATTCTCGGCGTCTGATGGGTTTACCATAAATGGCTTTGGTAGTATGCTGGTACCACTTGATCTTGTCTATGGCATCCTCAATAGATTTAGGTTTTGAAATAGCAGCATTTTGACCAGCTTCTTTATCACAGCATCCCTGACAGAATCTCCATACAGCTTGCGAGTATACATGTTCTTCTGGCAGGTAACGAAAAGCTTTCATTGCTAGGGAAAGTAATCTGTCAGCCCAATCTTCAAGTTTTTCTCCTGTGTTCTGATGGGCTCCCATAAACTGGACTTGAAGAGTTTCTGGTAAATCCACAAAGTTAAAACGCTTTTCTAGTTTGCGAACTAACTTAAAATAGTCTATGCCATAGTCTCTGTTCACAATACTGGTGTAAAACTCGCTGGCTTTTCCATCGAGACACCAACATAACTGATCTTTGCGCTCTGTAGCTGTCCAGTGAGATACATCTGCATATCTGCTGAATTTTACAAAGAAGGCTTCCCAGTTAGAGGTCCCATCATACCGCAAGGCTTTGGGCAGATACACAGGTTTTGATTCGTGTCGCCCCTGGCTCTCGGAGACTGTTGGTTGACGTCGTACGAAAGTTGGCGACAACTGAGGTGAAGGCAATGTGCGTCGTTGTACCATAGGTGTCTGGAACCTGATATGGTCTGGAATTGGACGTTGCACTTCATTGTCATGCAAAGAATTTTCCTGCTCTCCTGATCTGTAATTAGTGTGACTGCCATGTGGTCGCATATTAGATATAGAACGCTTCTGAGTACCCGTCGGTGTTGACTCACCATTGTATGCGTGCAATGCACGGCTACTTTCACCTGATGATGGCGTTCTCCTAGGTTCCGACAAAGGGGTCGCTGTGTGTCGAGGATGAGTAGATGGCTTTGCTGTGCAGTCACTCATCTTGAACTCTGTATTTACTTCACCATGATCCTCGTAATCCTGGAACTCTGTGAAGTAATCCTCCATACCATCACTTGTGGGCTTTGCGTAGCTATTATCTATACACAATGGTGGTAGAAAATCTACACATTCAACTAGTTCTGGTGTGACCCTTAGTTTAGGTATACCCACAAATGTTTCCAAGTCAATGGGGCCTTGCTTTCTTAGTTCCCATATACGGTCAGCTATGACCTGACCCACACCTGGTAGGACTCTTAGATCTTCATAGGCACAGATGTTTATGTTAATTTTGAATGGACTCTTCCTGTGTTTTGACATCATGTTACTGGTGGGGGGGGGGGGGATATACAAACGAATTTGTGTGTTTACTTTATTTCAAAATAATATACATGTACGATATAAATTACCCTATCAATGACCAAACATATGTAAACACCTTTAATTTAATTCAAATTCAAATCAATCTTTTAACTGGCAGTATCAACGCATTCGGTATTACAATACCATGTGGTCGACCAAGTGCATCTTCCGGTGATTAGCCTCACCACGTGTTTATTTTTTTTTTCTTCAACAAAATGCACAAAAAACATAATTCTGCCAGGCTTTGTGATCTTGATGATTATAACTTAATGAATAAATAGAATTTCACATAACTTAATTCAAATTGTCAGTCAATTTTCAAGATTTACTGTAGATACACGTGTGGGACTTTGACAGATTCCCGCCACGAGAAAAAATATCAACGAAATTCAATACACAAAATTTCGTGCAGAATCGATTGCTCGCAGCGCCAGTGAAGTGTTTATAACCTATGCAAGATTAAACCAACTGACGACCGAGGGAATTTTCATACATGTTTAATCTGGAGCACATATAACACTTATAAATATACCAAAGCTGACAAATATTCTCAATCTCTCAATCTCCGCTATACTTCTCTCTCCGACGAACAGACGACAACTCTCTCACGCATGCGCACTTACAAGCGGTTCCATATACATTCGTTCCCTTACACATTCACATCACACTACAATACCAACCAACTCACCCAAAAGGTCCTGAAAGAACAGTTAATGATGTCCATCGTGATGCACAGCAAGCTATGGACAATTTAGAACACCGATGAACTGGTTTTAGTGTAAATGGAGTGTAAGGACCTTCTTGGATTTTTTTCCCTCGATTCAATATTGCAAGCGGAATAGCTATTGGTTCTTTTAGGTGTGCAAAAATCGTTGTTACGTCTTTGGTTTTCTTCTGAATGTAAGTCAAAAAATTACAGTTTTCATGAACATGTCCAAGATGTTGATAATAGATTAAGAAACATAAAATATAAAACGATATATATATCTGTAATGTTTTGATATAATATGTACTAATACGGAATTAATTGAGTTAACCGTTCAGTTTTAAACTTTTACTATTTTATGTAAGAACCGGAATAAAGCAGTTCAGAAAACGCACATGGTTTTGGCAGTCATGTTTGCAAGATTGTCTTAAATAAAAGACATCACATGGTGTCAGAAGTGAACACCGAATTATGGAACAGTTAAAACCTCCGTCGCACTTGAGTTTCGAAGGGAATTTAGCCGAAAACTGGAAAGAATGGCTCCAAGGATTTCGACTATACTTGATCGCGTCGGGAATCGACGAGAAAGCCGGGAAGGTAAAAGTTGCTGCGTTTTTACATGTCGCTGGTGTTGAAGCGAGGAGAATATATAACACATTAAACAGCCCGGAGGATGATGTGGAAAAGTTGGACGTTCTTATTGAAAACTTCCAAAAATACGTGGAACCAAGAAAGAATTTAACGTATGTACGACATATTTTCTTTACGAGAAAACAAGAAATTCATGAAACAATAGACAATTATGTCACAGATCTGAAAAACAAAGCTATACAGTGTGAATTTGGAAACTTGAAAGATTCTATGATACGTGACAGATTAGTGTGTGGCATTGCAAATGAAGCATGTCGAGCGAGACTTCTGAGAGAAGCAGATTTATCACTGAAGAAGTGCATAGACATATGCCGTGCATCTGAAATATCAGAACAACAGCTAAAAACATTACACAAAGAGCCTGTTACCGCAGATGCGCATACTGTATCAAAAGAACATAAATTGCGTCATAACTATGACAAACAACACCACAATAGTGAACACAGAAAACCGAAAGCTCGTGTCAAAAGTGCGCCACATACCAAAAATGCATGTGGCAGATGCGGAAGAGAACATGACAAAGGAAAGTGCTCTGCATATAATAAACTATGTTACAAATGTAACAATACTGGTCACTATGCGAAATTCTGTAAGACAAAATCTACTGTGCATTCCTTAGAAGAAACAGAAGACCTGTACCTTGGTATAGTCAGTGTAGACAGTGTTCATGAAGCGCCGTGGACAGAAACAGTCACCATCAACAGAATACCTGTTACGTTTAAGTTAGATACAGGAGCTCAAGCGAACATAATACCCCGAGATGTGTTCAACACGCTAAAGATCTCGAAGAACCATTTACGGAGTGTGAACGGAAACTTGATCACTTACAATGGACACGTCATGAATCCGGACGGAAAGATTGATATTCGTTGCCATATCCGCAACGAAAAACATACACTTCCGGTTTATGTTACTCAAAAAGGAAGCACTCCGATCCTCTCTAAAGAAACCTGTGCTCGCTTGGGACTAGTACAACACATACCAGCAGAGTCTGTTGACAGTGAAGTGTGTATGTCAAAGGACAAACTACTGCAACAGTATGCTGATGTTTTCAGTGGGTTAGGAAAATTGTCCGGGACACACCACATTGAAATTGATAAAAGTGCAAATCCAGTGGTCCATCCACCGAGAAAAGTACCTGCAGCGTTACTTAAACCTGTCCAAAATGAACTAAAGCGAATGGAAGACTTAGGCGTCATAACGAAACAAGACAGTCCGACAGATTGGGTCAACAGTATGGTGACAGTACGCAAGCCAGGGAAGATCCGCATATGTTTGGATCCAAAAGATTTAAATCCGCACATCAAACGAGAGCATTATCATCTTGTGACCGTTGAGGAAATCATTGAAAGACTGCCGAATGCTAAAGTTTTCTCACGATTTGATGCTACTCATGGCTCTTGGCACATTCAGCTCGATCAGGAAAGTTCTAAAGCACTTACCTTCAACATACCATTCGGTCGGTACCGATACTTGAGACTTCCGTTTGGAATTACGTCAGCTTCAGAAGTATTTTCAAAGCGTGTACAGGAACTATTCTCCGACTTACCTGGTGTTTAGTGGAAGATATCCTGGTACATGGGGAAAACAACGCGGAACATGATGAAAACCTCATTCGTATGCTGGAACGTTGTCGCAAGATAGGACTCAAGCTCAACAAGGACAAAGCTGAACTCAGAGTACCTGAAGTCAAGTATGTTGGCCATATCATTGGTAAGGATGGACTTAAAGTGGATCCGGAAAAGGTACGAGCCATCATTAATATGCCGGAACCAACAGACGTACAAGGTGTTCGCAGATTTCTTGGACTTGTGCAATATGTCTCCAAGTTTATACCAAATCTGGCAGATCTATCAGAACCACTCAGGATATTGACCAAGAATGATGTCATGTGGCACTGGGACAGAGAACAGATAGACAGTTTCGCAAAGTTAAAAGAAGTACTGACACAAGCACCAGTACTAAGGATGTATGATCTTGAGAAGGATGTCTCGATTTCTGTTGACGCTAGCTGCAAAGGATTAGGTGCTGTTCTGATACAAAATGGACAACCCATAGCTTATGCCTCCCAAGCTCTCACAGAAACTCAGCAGAGGTACGCGCAAATAGAACGCGAGATGCTGGCAGTTCTATACGGATGTGGAAAAATTTCACCATTACATTTATTGCCGTTCAGTTACCATAGAAACAGACCACAATCCTTTATTAACAATTCACCGCAAACCATTGTACCAAGCTACACCAAGACTACAGAGAATGCTGATGCGCCTACAGCGCTATGATGTACAGCTAAAGTACGTTCCTGGAAAGGAAATGTTCATATCTGATGCTTTAAGCAGAGCTTATTTGAAAGAGTGCAAAGAGACACTAGTAGATGAAAACATAGACGTGAACTATATTGAAAAAGAACTTTCTAATACAGAGGAAAAGCTACAAGAACTAAAGGACGCAACAGAAGCAGACGAACAGTTCCAGACACTAGCAGACATTGTTAGAGTAGGATGGCCTGAGATGCACTCACAAGTTCCAACTTGTCTAAGGATGTTCTGGAACTACCGAGATGAGGTTACCGTGCTGAATGGACTACTTTACAAAGGACAGTCCGTTATGATACCTCTTAACGCTGCGACGCCAAATGCTGAACAAGATGCACGAACCTCACCTTGGAATAGTAAAAACTAAACAGAGAGCCAGAAACATAATCTTTTGGCCGAACATGAACTATGATGTAGAGCAGCTGATACAGTCCTGTGGAGTATGCAACTCTTTTCGGAAAACAAACACCAAACAACCTCTTATTCCGCACGAGATACCTACTACTCCGTGGATCAAAGTCGGAGCAGACATTTTTTACTTTAAAGGCAAAGCCTACTTGCTATTAGTTGAGTATTACTCGAAATTCCCAGACATCATACCACTTCCTGATCTGCGAGCCCGATCTACCATTGCTGCATGTAAGACGGTGTTTGCAAGAAATGGCATACCCTTAGAACTGTTTTCAGACAATGGACCGCAGTTCAGCTGTCAGGAGTTTAAGAGTTTTGCATCAAAATGGGAATTCACCCACAAGACGTCAAGCCCCCGTTATCCACGTTCAAATGGTCAGTCTGAGCGATGTATACAGACAGTGAAACAACTTCTCAAAAAGGCCGAAGAGAGCAATACCGACCCAAATATTGCTTTCTTGAATACAGAAATACACCGATTGATGGAGTTGGAAAATCACCAGCACAGCTTCTGATGAACAGAAATTTACGTTCAAAGCTGCCCACTACGCAAACATGGTTAGAGCCAAAACCACTGGAGTCCCAACATTCCAAACTTAAACTGCGGCAAATAAAAGAGAAATACTTTCATGATAGAAACAGCGCAAATTTACCGCACGTAGGAAAAGGAGAGATCATTCGCATGCAAAATCCAGACATTCTGAAATGGAAACCAGGACTCATCCAGAAAAATCGAGGAGACAGATCGTATGAAGTATTACATCAACAGGGGAGAACATTCCGCAGGAACAGAAGCCAAATCCTGAAGTCCAAAGAAACTAACTTCTATGTGTCGCCGCCAGAATGCGAACCGCAACCACAACCTACCAGTTCCGTGCCCAGCAAAAGTGAAGCTTCTGGTGATTCGTCAGATGCTGACAGTCCGCAACCTAATCAGGAAACTCCAGCCACCAAGCCCGGTGTAACCCGCTCAGGAAGAGTTATCAAGCCACCGACGTACCTATCCGATTACGTGAAATAACTGACAGTTGATGTTTGTGTGTTTTAATTACACATGTATTTGTATTATGTTTATGATTTATCTGGTGTTGTGAAAATATCACTGTATGTATACATGCACGGTTTTGGACTTTAAAATCTATCTGTAATTCTAAAGAGGGGGGATGTAATGTTTTGATGTAATATGTACTAATACGGAATTAATTGAGTTAACCGTTCAGTTTTTAACTTTTACTCTGTTATGTAAGAACCGGAATAAAGCAGTTAAGAAAACGCACATGGTTGTGGCAGTCATGTTTGCAAGATTGTCTTAAATAAAAGACATCACAATATCTAGATTATCTTGTTCCATTGAAAATGACTTAAAATACTGGAAAGCTTCCGAATATCGTTTATTTTTGTTATACTTTAGAGCAACTATTTTGTTTGGCATTTTAGACAACCTTCGATTTAGTCATTTTTTTAAACCTTGTAAATGATATTCATATTTTAAGGAAGAGATTGCAAGGGTCCATGAAAAAAATCCGCTCTATGAATTTTTCTCATTTTTACATATAATTTGCCTTACGTTAATGGTATCATAATATGAAAATGTCAACCATGGTCATCAGGGTTATAAAGAAGATATGGTTGCCATGGTAACCACCGTTTTTCAATATTTTGATATTTATGAAGTGAAACTTTAAGTATGCCATACAGGTATCAAAATTGAAACAAATTAAATAATTTTCACCAGATATTAAATAATATGCTTTATATTCATTGAAAATAAAAATTGTATCGGAAACTATTGATAGATATAGTAATGCCACAGTTGCTTTGGGGAGTAGTCATTGTAAATTTGCAGTAATATTTTCACCCCAAGAACAGTTTTCAACGTCTTGACAAAAAATTGCTCAATGAATTTTCCTAAAATTGATATATTTTGTAACAAATATTATAAGTGACTTATGGTTAAAATATGAAGTGGGGTCATCACATTCTTTTTTAAGCTACATGCATTTCAATACCCCCCCCCCCCTTCCTAAAATATTAAACAAAAACTTCATAAATTTTAATCTGATGGTTTGTTGCTGAACCTTTAATATGCATAATCTGTTAATTAAAAGACTATTTAAAAAAAATACGTACAGATTAATAAAATATTTTTTTCTGAAAATCTTGTGGTGGTTGCTCATTTTATACGTAGAGCAGAATGATAGCAGAATGATATAAGTATCATGTACACAAAAAACAACAATATGCACATTTTTGGGTTAATTTTTACATCTCCAAAATATTCATTCCGTTCTTATTTCAATATAAATATATACATTCTAAACCAGTGCACAGTGGTCCAAGGGCCAAATTGTTCATGCTCTGAACACTCATCGAGGTCTCTGCACTGTGACTTGGAATCGGAAAGGGAAGGGGGGGGGGGGGGTTAGTCACTTGAACACATTGATTGAGTAGTAGATTATTTCAGAGAACTTGTATCTGCAATCTATACCGTATATAAAATAAATCCTAGCTATTATCTTATTTGAGAAATTTTATTAATTTGCTATGTAATATTTACATTTGCAAATATTTTTCCTACACATTCATTGCAAGTTAGAAAACAGTTCATTTTCTCATGAACAAGGTAAGCCTACATATCTCCATTGTGACGTCGTAATGCCACACTTGACGTCAAAACTATAGGCCTAGTGCAAACTGTTTTGTTTCCAAAATAATGGTTGAATGACATTTATAAATTTGCGCTTCATGATCACGCATTTCATGAAATATGCTGAGGTGAAGAGTCTTTGTTCATATCCTCGTGAATTTTCAAAAATTAAATTAACTTTTCAAATATATTCCCGTGAGAATGATGAGTTGAAATTTTTTTTTAAATGAATAACATTATGCTCAAAATAATTTTCTTTCTCTGGTAGCCTATACCTGGTACCTCCGTAGTACCTCGATTGTCAGAGTTATCCTCTCTTAATTTCGTCTGTCATTCTTACATGCGTATTTTTTGCTAGATTTGTGAAAACTTGCAAAAAGAAACCTTTCTTTTCTTTTCAGAAGAAGTGTGTTGAGTTTCAATTTTTTACCAAATACGACGCATAAAACAATTTACTACAACAAATGTTTACGCAATATGTGCCGATGATTCAATGTTTACAATGTACATGGTCGATGTAAGCGTTGAAAATGCTAGAGAAGATCTTACAGAGGAAAACGATTTCCTCCGCAATAGTTTTTTTAAAATACGTTCATGTCCAGCATGCAACCTGAAACTGGTCTATACACGTATAAATGAAAATCGCATTCGTTTATGCTTCCATATATATAGGTCTATATTCATTATAATCACTGAGAAAATCACGCCGTCCGAAGCTTCTAGGAAATGATTATCTATTCATAGATGTAAATCCTATAGTAAAAAAAAACCGATCTCAAATAAAATTCTAGTATTTTAATTAAAACTAGAGGACGTAAAGATCCAGGTATGAATTAAATTTATTTATGAAATAGATTACAGCGTTCGGAACTACGACAAAGGCTAGACGTGTCAAAACGAAAAAACACATGGATAAAAAAATCTGCGTCGACGCTCACCAACACTCTGCTACATCACATCTTTAGGGCCTATCTTATTCTTTCTCCATTTTAAAAATATTGCCACGAAGACCTTTTGTCATGGGCGTAATCATAATCAGGCTCCTTATTCCGGAAATGGTTACCGTAAATCTTCTTTTTCTTCAAATGAGTCGATCACGTGACGCCATGCAATCGCTTCCTTAAAACAAAATAGTACTGAAGCAGAAGTATGAAGCTGAAGCAATACTTTTCAATTTTTGTGCAGATTTTGAATTTTTATATGAAAAATGTTTTGTGACACGTAACATTCGCCAGCTTGTACATTTAGCAGATAGTGTGCATGTTTTAGGTCCTCTTTACACCCATAGTTTTTCTTTTGAAAATAAAAATGGTTTTCTTTCAAAGATGATTCAGGGCACACAAAACATTGATAGTCAAATTGTCACAGGTATATCTTTTGTACAAAAACTTCCCGAGTTAAAACAGAAATTTGTAGAAAGTACTATTGAATGATCAAAACTAGAGAAATTGTTCAATTCCATTGAATCTCTTAATTTGTTAATAAGAGGAGAAATGATAGAAAGAGGAGTGTATGTATTAGGCGGAGTTAAGAGTTTTGGTTGAGAATGAGTACAAAAAATTTTGTGATTTTCTTGGCTATGCTCCAGTTAATGAGAAGTTTCGAACATTTAAGAGAATTGATTTTTCCAATCATATTATATATGGTATACAATACCAAAGAATGATGAAACGTAATAATTCTACTGTGGTGTATAAGGAATGGAGTTATTTTTGTTTTGGTCGATTTAGATTTTTTTTCTTTTTAATATTGTCGCCCGCGTGGCGCAGTGGTTAGAGCGTCTGCTCTAGAGTCGCGAAGCAAGGAGTTGATCCTTGCGTCGTGGGTTCGAATCCCACTGTGGGACTTCCAGTCCTTCGGATGAGACCGTATAAACCGAGGTCCCGTGTCGCAGTAGGTGCTGGCACGAAAAAGATCCCTCACTCCTCAATGGCCGTAAGTACCGAGTATAGGACAAAATTTGTAGCTCTCCACCGGCAATGGTGGCGTCAAATGATTGAAAAATTCTCGAGAGGGACGTTAAACAACATTTACTATTGTTTATGATCAGACTAAAGTTCTGGCTTTTGTGGAGAAACTTGAATTTGTACACTATTTTGAGAACCCCAGTGTGCTGAGAGTTACAAAAACTGATGAATTTGCCTTTGTTCCCTTTAAAAAAAAAATTAAGGAAGGGTGCCTGTTTCTTGAAATTCAAAGTGATGGTGATGACAATGATTCTAAGTTTCTAACACATTTTATGTATGTCGGTTCCCTAACAAACCCTAACAAACCAGAAGCTGACTAAACTGTCTTTCAAAAATGATATGCTTTACCATTGATATTGGTTATATGAGTAACAAACGTTTTCTTTCTTCTTTTTTTTGTAATAGTAATAGTTAATTTTCATATGTCTGTTGGAAATAAAACACAAGAAAGTATATACATATTGATGTTATTTACTATTTGATAAATTTCCTAGCACTAACTGAATGACATTGTTAAAGTCATATTTGTGCCTTGTAAAGAAATTCCTGCTGGTAAAATTTCTAAGTTCATTTACGTCCAAGGAATTCCTGCTGGTGAAATTTCTAAGTTCCAAAATTCCCTCTCTGCTTTGAAACTAAAAAGTTCCAAGTCCAAAAATTCCTGCTAAAGTTCAGGCGTAAAAGGTGAGGCGTCAAATCGTTTAAAATTTCCTTCCAGATTCCAAGTGGAATTTGTGATTTTCCAGGTGTTATTTAAGAGTTATAATTGAAAATATTCCGTCTCCTGCTCAATTACGCCTGGAAAATACACATTACGCCTAGAATCCGTCTCATTTCCAGGCGGAATCTGCCTCAAATATTCATACAGGTACAAGGGACAACACCTACCAGGACTAGTATT